ACAGAGGGGAGGAGGAGGGGGGGGAGGTTCGGTAAACGCCGCCGGTGAGAACCGCCGCTTGACAGGTCGGCCCGCTCGCGCTCCCCCACGTGGAGAGTCGCACGCTCCGCTTCATCGAGCGTCGGCCGACGCGAGAGAGAGCACGTTCACCAGGGCAACGATTGCACTTGCACTTTTTTAAGAGAACCTGTTCGCCACGCCGGGGCCACACCCACGGCGGAGTGCGCCGCGACGTGAATCGACGAGCGGAGCGGAGCGGAGCGGAGTAAGATCTCGCGCGCGAGAGCGCGCGGCCCGGGAAAGAAGGGACTTCCCCGTTATGTTATTCGCGTTGTATTTCGCCTCTCTGCACGAACGGTAACTGCGAGGGACCCCCTGTTGTCCGGTACGGACATACCGTACCGTACGTTGCGCTCGTGTAAATAACGTCTATCTGCGTACGTCTATCTGTGTTTCGCGAAACCGGTTTGATAACACATCCTCCGCATCCTCCTCCCGGCTGTACATATTTCTCCCCCCCCTCCCCTCCTCCTCCTCCTCCTCCTCCTCCTCCTCCTGTCCTTTATGTATTCTGCTAGTTTTCTCGATGTAGGTCGCTACCACGATCGAATTACTCAACGTTATTACATTAATACGGTAGATCGTTGCTCCTTGAATTTATATCGGGGATTTGTCTTACTTCTTGGGATATTATTACCGCCTTTAAAACCTTTCACTGATTGTAAAACTAGTGATCTAGAAAGTATTCAGTTCCAGAAATCCTTGGAGATTTTCTATCCGCGGAGAAACAGTCGTATCGCTGGCCGATTAGCATCTCGGTTAAATTACAGCTTTCAGTTGTAATATCTTGTTCTTCCCCGTGATATTCTCTAATCGCCCGATTGCCTCGATAATTATTTCCGCTTTTTTAATTTCTGAATAAAAAATGATAGAGTTATGTATATGCGTGTCTTAATACACGTTCCCGTTTAATAGGAAGCGATATAAAAAGCAGTTGGAGAATAAAGACAGAGAAAGTAAACAAATTTGAAAAAATTTCCAACGATTCGCCATGAGAATGGAAAAAGGCTGCAATTATTCGGTCAGAGCACGGATACTTTCACGGTCGAAAAAAAAAAAAAAGAACAATTTCATTCGCTCTTTAGAAATGTTATTTTTATAGTTACAAATTGTCGAGCACAAGAATTGACTATATCGACTAGATTCTAGAATTATCTTTTGTGCTCGAATAAAGATACTCAAATTAACTGCTCGAACTACTATCGATAACAATAATGCACGATAATTCATAATGTTATTAAAGCTCGGAAATATGCACATGAAGTTTTACGAGTCATCCTATTTGATTTTCAAAATGTGTGATTTTAGCTATTTTTCTAACGCCAATAATAAAACAAAAGGAAGAATTTTTTATTTAAATAAAGTAAAAAAATTTATATATCGCGACTTTAATTTTTGATGGCTCTAAAAATGCGAAATAACATTTCATGTTAAATATGTCTCGTTTATTTTATTTCTGGCATAAATATCATTATTCGCTTATATTAATATAGGATCTAAAATACACATTTGATGAAATTATATTCATACTAATTTCCTGTTGAGATAAAATGAAAACAATTGGCCGGGGCTTACCTCGACATTTACACACCTCGTAAAACGTGAAACTTCACGAAAGCGGCTTTCCGAAAGAGTCAATTGAACTGATTGAACGTCTCTAGAGAGAGATGAGTAAAATCTGGCGTGCGGATTAATCGGAGAAACGTTACAGAATAATTAAGATGAACGAAGAGGAGAAAGACTCTAATGGTTGCATAAGCGTTGCGAAACAAGTTTTTTGCCGCGTCGTTCAACCTTGCACCTCGATTGTGTGCAAGGTGAGCACATTATAATACGAGGGAATAATCCTTCGATTCCGCTCAAATTATTGCACCATCGGAGAGGAGAGCTGGATGCTTATTGGAACGTATCGTCGTGCCCAGCGGGCAATTATCATTCCGCGGCTGGACCGACGTAGAGGAAGGTTTATAGGAACGGCGAGATGATTTCATTCGACGTATCAAACGCCGGATTCGTTTCCATTTCTCGTCGTTTGTTTAACGTACAAAGCGTCGTAGAGAATGCCCAACGTTTCGCGCGAATCGCGGGCGAATCGCGAGCGAACGTCGATCCGTTTTCGCGAATCGAGTGTCGCGCTTTATTGTACGCGCAAAATCGCGAGATTGGAAAATTATCGGGAACGCGCGGGACTATCAAGCGGCAAAAGTGTAACGAGTCGTTATTCGGCTTGAATTCCCGCCGCTTCTCTCTTCGCGCTCTCTTCTAAGGAATTTATGTCCCGCGTCGTTCTCGAAACGCGTTTGCGAGAAAATCGCGTTGCCCGGCGTCGATTCTAAGGCAATTGTCTTCGAATGCATTCCCGATCTACACGCGCGTATATATACATATATATATATATATATATATATATATATATATACGCCTTACGTAAGAAAAACAAGAGAAATTGTATCATTTTGTTCGCCGGGGCCGGCCGCGGCAGTCGCTCGCGCGAGTAAAACTTTCACCAAGTTTATTGCTAACGTGCTCGTTACACGGCGTGGTCGAGCACGTCGGCATCGTCCCGTTATTTTGTCGTGCTTCCTGCCACGGTTTTTCGGCGGTGAGGAAACGCCTCGTGAAATCGCCCGAGAGCCCGAATATCTCGACCATCGGAAAAAAAAAAAAAAAAAGAAATAATACACGCGTCCGCCGGCAATGATTATGGCAATCCCGACGCTGTTTCACGCAGCGAAACGACTAATCGCACGTTATTAATCCTTTCCGGCCTGGCGATTTCAATTGGAGACACATACATTGTGTCTTACATAAGCGAGTTGACCAATCGCGAGGCGGCCGCAGCATTTTCTTCAATTTCTCTTTGGCGGCGTGCACCTTAATTTGCAAAACGAACGTGGTGCGACTTATTAACGCTAACTCGGAGAAAATAAAATAAGATCTAACGAAACAAAAGTAGTCCGGGAGCGGAAGAAACGTAAAGAAATTTTTGATGAAATTATCGTCGGAGCAAACGAAATAAAGCCATAAGAGGAGAAAGCCTTTCTCTCACGGAGGAAACCATTTTTTTTGCAGGATGTCGCGGAAAATTAACGTCCACGCCACGCTGCTGCTCGTCCTGCTCGAGCTGGCCGCGTCGGCCATGGTCCTGCCGAGGCCACCCTCGTCGCACCCTAATCACATCCACCAGGATCAGGATCTGTCCGCCCGCAAATCGCTCGAGGGCAAGTCTCTGCACGGCATCTCGCGAAACACCAACGTGGAGAGGCCCGATACCGAGGACTACAGGTATCGATTTGCCAACGTTCGCCAACGACGCGGCCTTTTTCGCGCCAAGTTTTTTTTTTTTTTTTTTTTTTTTTTTTTTTTTTTTTCCCCCATATATCACTCTATCCGACCGACGCCGATATTATATTCCATGGCCGTGTTGCGCGCTGCTCCAGCAATTCACTTTGGTTGCCCGCCTAGAATTCCGAGCTCGTTCTCGAAGGTGATGAATGATCCGTCAGTTATTATCGCTCGAGCTTTAATCGAATATCAGTTTTTGTGAAAAACTGAGACTTTTATCTGAGACTTTTTTAGAAGATTACCTTAACAGATTGATTGTAAATTTAAAATTTCTAAGTAGAGGAGAAGGTGGTATTGTGTAAGTATTATGGCCATTTGTAGTATCTCCGTTATTAGATGACGAATAATTCTAGTAATTACCTGGATGGAATCATTTGTTTAGTAGCCTGCCGTTATATAATGGAGCCTGTATACAATAGCTGACATTTGTTATGAGACTTTTTTACTTTCGAGCATTTTGTAATTTTTTCCAAGATACGTTTTAGCATTCAATTACGGATGCTCCCTCTATTTTTTTTTTTTACATTTGAGCGTATTATCACATGAATATATGTACAGTGTTTTTTTGTTATTTAACAAATTTATATATATATATATATATATATTGCAAAGTTAAACAATAGCATAGCATTTTGTTAATAAAGTCATAAATATGTTGATAATATGGTTATTTTCGAGATTTTTATATTAAAATAATTCTTCGATAATAATTTAAATTTAGTTAAAACATTTAAATATCTAAAAGTTTATTTTGTAAAAACTATCCTTTTCGCAGTTTGTTTGTGATCCATCTTCTAATCTCTTGAAGTAAGTCATCTATCTCTATTTATTTTAAAACTTTGCGATTATATTGTAATTCTTCCTAACAGTTTATTTTAAACAAATATATAATTTTCTAAATACTATGTCTTTCTTAAACAAAACTAATTTCTTAAATTTATTTTTGTGATGGCCCCTATTATCACCCTTTCTCTTCGACTCGTTCTTAGTGTCGCTACATTTTTATAAATAATATTCACTGTAACAAATATTTCACAATTTTATGAGCCTAAAACCTATTAAATAACACTTTAATGAATATAATCGTTAAGTTTTCAATTTAAAATATCAATTATTGACAAAGTTTTTGTACAAAAAATGTAAACGGGTGATCATAATACCACCTTCTCCTCTACGTATTACGATGTAACATTCAAATTTTATTGCACGAGCTCTCCAAGCCTTTTAATACGTTTCACTAAATATTATCGTGGTGCCAACGATGCCAGCATTATTTCACTCTAACTTAACGACTCCTCCTCGGAAGACTCTCTCGTCGACTGACTCATCGCGCGATTACGAAACGATATTTACTTCAGCCCCGCGATTCTAAATTTCGCTCGAACAAAAGCGGAAAATCCTACCTGAAACGCCGTTCTTTCCCATCGGCGGAAAGCGGCCCAATTAGCGCGAATGAAAAGCCGTTCCTCGCTGCGCGGCGCACGAGAAACGTGAGAAACTCGATCGGGTAATTGCTCCCGTGTAATTTCAACGGCAAATTTACGTGACCACAATTCGTATCTTCGGGCACCGATACGCCCCCCCCCTCCCCCCCGTAACCGGGTGCAACCGGGTAATTTCGAAAGCAAAATAGTAAGCGCGATTAGGGCTAGACAAGCCGATTCTCTCTCGAATTTTCTCTCGTGCGGTCGCGATCGCTGCGGTTTAATCGCGAGTTAATAATTCGCGAGATATTCGCGATTTCGGCGAGTGGCGGATGGCGGATGGGGTATTTTCTGAACGAACAATGACACCTGTAATCGCGATCGGATTACAGGTCGTAATAATCCGTCGTGACGATCAAATCAAAAAGCAATCTCCTCGCTCGCTTGATGCCTACGTTACCGCTAATATCGGATTAACTTCGATCATTACGCTGTTTCCCATCCGCCGCCTCCCCCCCCCTCCCCCCCTCCCCTCCCCGTGGTACCGTGTATTTTGCGGCTGATTGTCCGCGACGTCTCAAAGTTTCGTTCCGTTCGACGGTCAATCTTCGTCGCTCGTCTCGCATTAGCGAGAAGCTGTGTAATCTACGCTACAGTAAAATTAAGCGAAATTAAGCGATTCTTCTCTCCTCTCGTCGCAGGCTTTTTGAGATCGAGCTGCAGGGCGCGGACGAGATGGACGCCGCGAATCTGCAGGGCCTGATGCGCACGATGCTGAAGGAGGAACAGCGAGCCTCGGACCCGGGGTATCCGAATCCCGAGGTGATCCCGCATTCGATCCTCGGTGTGCGGGACATGGGATTAAGCCCGAATTATCGTCTGGATGCTTTTGACGACAAGCGCGCCCCGCTGAGTTCGCCGAAGCTGCCGAGCCACGACGAAAAGCTCTACTATCTGAAGAGCGGCCGGCCTAAGGTCTACGTAAACGTGCGTGGAAACAGCGGCTCCTTTCACAAGAACACCGCCGTCCCGTCGTCGACGGTAACCTCCAGCGAGGGCGCAGTGGGATACCTAAGGGTTACGCGACCCTTCGAGAGACAAACCGACTGGAAGACGCGAGACAAAAAGAGCCGGCCGCCCAAAAAGTTCGACCGTCGCATCGACGGTTTGGTTCTGAGGACCGAGGAGTTCGGTAAAACGTACGAACAGGCGACGTTTTACGGGCCGGACGAGCCGTCGACCACGGAGAATTCCATGGTCACGTCGAGCGAACTGCCCAAACAGATACCCGCACCACCTAGCAAAGTTCGCGGACGGAGTCTGATGGCGCAAACCACGCCTGTACAGAGGTATGCGCTTAGGAGGACGGATATCCTACCCGGATATGGCTTTATCGAGGAACACTAAAATCGAATAATCGAGGTGGAAATTGAAATATCCTGATTTTCCCTTGAAAAGTGGCAGATTTAAGCGCGATTCTCGTAATCGTCGTTTCACGATTCGCTTCAAAATCCAAGTAACGCGCGATAAAGAAATCAATTTGACGACGTATTTCGAAATAGGATTAATTATACAATAATCATTCACATTTGATTACGCATACATTTCTATCGTCAAATCATTGATCATTAATCGCTGTTTGCATCACAAATGTTATATGGCTAACTACCGACACCAGATTCTTTTATCACTTGTCACATAATAATATTTTGCAAGCGTCGAGAGGTTTCAGAAATCTCGATGAGGAGCTAGCTGTGATCGCATGAAAAATATTACTTCGTACTTTGTAAAATGAATATCATCTTCAGAATTCGATAAAGTTCTAGTTCTTCTCTAAACTCTTCTAAAGCTTTTGATACATTTCGAATAGAGCTTTGGCAATAAAATGCATAAAACATAAATATATGTGCCAATTTTACATTTTTTGTTTTACGAAAATCATCATTTTTTTTTTCATTTCAATTAAGATCAATATTTAATATGAGAAGAGCCTTTATTAACTATCACAATTCTGAAAATGGTATACTAATCTTGCAGAGGTAATTGTTACATCTCGGCGAAAATGTAACATTGCAACGTTAACGTTCTAGTATTGGTGTTAAGCTTAATTTACTCTGGATATGACGGCTTACAATAAAAATACGCATTATTATTTATATACAGATTAATATATGTTTGTAATATATATAGTAAACTAATCTAGAATTAAGAGATTATAGTAATATATTAATTTGTAGTTTAGTAATAAACAGCGAGCAAGCCAGTTAAATAATTTTATTATTTATATTCTTCGGCAATTTGCTTGATTAATGAAAAATATGAACAAATACCGAGAATTTAACATGAATTACAAAGAGAATGATATTAATAGAAGAACTTACCTGTTCTGCCTTTAACGTGAGTTCAATAAAAATCTGTTGCAATTTCTCGTTCACGAAATTGATGCAGAATTGCTCGAAGCCGTTCTTCTCAAAAATCTCGAAGCCATATATGTCCAAAATTCCGATTTCGAATCCATCCGTGTTTGTCTCCATGGCTGAATTAACTTTCTGTAATATCGTCAATTATTCATTAATGGCAACATTAAACAGCTTTTAAAATTATACGATTTTTTATTAAAAGATTACATTAATACAACTAAAATAAACATATCTAAAATAAATATATTCTTTTCAAATAAATGTCAAATAAAAGCAATTTGCTTCTCTTAGTCCAAAAGAAAATAAAGACACTAAATTATCTGTCATGAAAACTAATTAACACATATTTGTATGTGTGATCGACTTCTAATATTGTCACTATACGAAAATATCTATGTTCATTTCTAAAATTATATAAATTTACATAAATATATAAATCTCTAAAATTATATAAATTTATATAAATAGCGTAAGATATATTTTTTCACGTGTTTGTATAGCTTTAGATTTAGAATCGTCTTGAAATGAATTTTTAAAGAGTTTTCAATGAGTCTCTGTCACACCTTAACCAGGTAATCGAAAAGCCTTGCGTAGATATCCTTTGTCAAAGCATCCCTCGCATAAAGCGCCTGTTCCACATTCAACGTCACGTCTACACTTTCGGAATGACTTCCCCATTTTGACTCGAATTCTCGGGAGATCAATTTGTGCGACAGCTGCTCCGCTGAGACTCCAAAGAGGTAGGCTGGAAACTCGAGAACTAAAAGCATATTCATATATATATATATATATATATATATATATGAATATATATATATATATATTTTTTTTATAATGAAAATCATGCAGGTAGAAAATGTGTAAAATAATAATGATACGCACAAATTATATCGAAAATTATCATATTATATCATATTTTATTATCGATCGATTAGCGGCGTCTATATGCGATAAGTTATAAAAATAAATACGTTTTATATAACTTCTAATCCGATAAGAGATAAGTTACGCAACTAATCGTTGTTATATCGTATTTTTAATTTTTAGTATATAAAATGGCTTACACTGTTTATCGGCTATCTGCGAATAATTGCCGTTCTCGGAAAATTGTATATTTCCTACGTGGAGAATTCCAGCTACCAATCTGAATATGTCCATCACTTCGGCATTTTTTATCCCCATAACACTCAGTGCTGTAGACATGAAACAATAATAACATAATTATTAAATAACAAATAAATTTGAATTGTAGTTAGATGTTGAAGATATGGAATGTATCATACTTATTGAATATTATACTATTAGTTACTGTTATACTATTAGTTACGAATGTATAGAAATGTAGTTAAAAGATTCGATTTAATTGTCTCTCTGTACCTTTAAGGGTTTCCTGAAAATCTCGCGCGTCGTTAGTGCCATCCACTCTATAATTTCCTCCATAACTCAGATATTGATAATAATCGAGATCCGTCAATCCAAATTCCGCTATAAAATTTAAATTATCTTTACACACATACACACACAAGTGCTTTTAAAAATTGTCCTATAGTCTCTATTAATCAACAATGTTTTCATTTGCTCAATTGCTTACTCACCTTTCATTTCCTGATTGACTCCCGTCGCCAACTGATAAAATATATGGAAGTTCCGTTCGCCAGGATTGTGGCAAGTTACCCTCGACTTTTCCAAGAGAAAATTGGAAATTTTGCCACCGTTTGGTTGACCGCCCGGTCCGAATTGCATCTCAACATATTTTCCCTAAAAATTTAAGAGGCCTTCTTTTGTTCTCGTTTAAATAATAATAACTTTAACTACAATATAATTAATGAATGAATTAGTGCGTTGATTCGAGTACAACTGGAGACGTACAAATCTGCTGCTGTTGTTGTTTCTCACTGTCTTCGCGTTGCCGAAAGCTTCTAAAAGTGGATTCGATTCCAAGATGACGTCTTTTACTTTCTGCACCTTTTTGCCTCCACCGCTCACCCTTGCTACATAAGACATTATGTATTTCGCTGCCACCGTTTTTCCCGCGCCTGATTCACCACTGCAAGATAAATATCGAAACATAACAACAAACGCATTCTCAATATAACAAAAAAAAATTTTTAAACATAAAATAAATATAGTATTCTAAAAATTGTTTTATAACGTAAAATTACGTAAGAACTTTTATTTAATTAATTTAATAAAATTAGTAAAATTAATTTAATAAAATTTATAATATAATTAACATTTACCTAATAATGACGCAATGACTTTCCTTGTCGATTAGCATGTTTCTGTACATCTCGTCTGCCAATCCATAGATGTGCGGTGGATTCTCGTACGGCGCCTAAAGTGACACGGGATATTATTTTTTATATTTTTTTCAATGGAAAAAAAAAATAATATTTTTACTCTCACTTACCGCGCCTTGGTATATTTCGACTTCCTTCTCTCCGAAGTACGGCATCTGTTTGAAGGGATTGATCGATACCAATACTGGTCCAATGCACGTCTGATGATCATTAAGGAGCATTTCATTTAACATACATACTTCAAAGTTGACATTTTATTATGAGAGAAAAATATCAGCTCTTCTAACGCGACGAAAAAGGATACAAATATGTAGTCGTCCATGTATCTCTTTTTGAGATTCTCGATAATGGCATCTTCGTTGATCTTTGGCAGAAGGACCATGTCGTCCACCCCGGAAATTTTGACATTTTGGCTCTGCCAGTGGTACACCTGCATGATGAAAAAAAAAAAAAACAATTAGCGAGGACTTCGTCGCGGATTTATTGAAATCACGAACGCGGCGGGACACACGAGAAATCAGCGGACGTCGCGCATCGCGAATCCAATTACAATTTCTGTGTCGCGAGCATCAAAAGTGCTTATTCGCTCCGACGTTCGTTTCACGGATCGTCGATTCATCGATCGCTTCCGCTCCTCTTTCAGCGAGAGTTCGGTCTAGCGCTCTTACTATGCCCTTTTAACGCAACCGCTTATAATAGACGCTATACTTGAACACTGAACGCATTATTTATACGTAGCGATTTTTAAACAGACTCGACTTATCAAAGTACGACCCGATCTACATTGCAAGAGACGCGTTCTAAACTTCTTTGTCCCGTTGAATAAATACCCGTTATAAAAGAAACTTTATATTTATCTTAATCTTGGATTTTCGTATACTAAAAAAGGATACAATAACAAATGTTGAATGAGAAACTTTGGCTCTTTGGCTCTTCTAATACTAATACGGAAGATTTTATATCTCAAAAATCTCTCTCTTTCTATCCGTCTCGTTTCTTTTACCGGATTAAACAACCGATGATATTTCTCCGACAGTGGTACGAGCACGAGTAAAAGATTCAATACGTTGAGTAAATCGTAGTAAAGAAACTAACGCAAAAGGACGAATGGAAGTACGGCGTGTGAAACGAGCATTCTCGGTTGCACGTAGCGTAGTATTAAAGAGAGGAACGCCAGAGAAATCGAAGTCAGCGTATATGGACACCTTCCGGGCGATTCTCTTTCAACAAATTCCAAAGTAACCAAAGATCGCGTGTAACGCGAGCAATCCCGAGACAGAAACCCTTTCCGTGACGTTCTATCTTAACGGCATTTCAAACGATCGTTTGTTACGATCTATCGTAGGGGGCGCGTGGGTCGAGGCCAATTGGCGGATTAATACCAGCGATTATAAGCGCGAACATATCGATTATGATTTTGCGTGTTTACCGCGAATCCAAGTTATGCGTGCATTTATCATATACTCGTCAAAATTTTTAATCTTTAATAAGTTAATCTTTTTATAAACCAATAATAATAAGTTGAAGTTAATGGCTTAAAATTAAGTTAAACGTTACGTGAACAAAAAAGTAACTTAATTAAAGTTAAGCTAAAATTAAATTAACTTACATTAATTTTAAAATAATTGTTAAAGTTGTTTACATTAAATTAGGATATACTATGATCTAAATAATGTTTAGAATTTTATAAGGAAAAAAAGAATTATTAGAATTCAGAGAGAGAGAGAGAGAGATAGAAAAATTTAACGTAAAAGGAAATTAATAAGTTAAAGTTAAAAATTAATTTATTTTAATATTATATTAAGTAAATTTAGTTAGTAACTTTTTAATTTTATTATTTACAATTTATTAACTTTTTAAATATACGTAGTTAAAAAGTTGCAAGTATTAGATACCAGTAATATCCCATACCTTAATTATCTGGGTAGTTCAACCTTGATTTTTAGAAAGTTGCAAATAGTTATATATACAGCGGCTAATACAATCTTTTCCACTCCCTCCCGCGTAACGTATCGATCGCGCCATATGTCATCGCATAGTTAACGTCACGGTCCGATTTATGCTGGCGGGGCGAGAACTACTCGCCCACAGACGCGACACGCAAGTGGACTCGCAAAACGGACAACAATCGAGAAAGTTCGTAAGGGGAAAAAGAGAAAAGGGCAAGACGAGAGGGACTTCAGTTCAGTCCGTAGAAAGCGGCGGGAGAATGACGCTCGCCTGACAACGCTCAACGAGATGAACGGACGTGTTTCCAGCTTCCGCCTCCCTCCCCCCCCCCTCCGTCATCGTCGTCGTAATTTGCGATTCGACAGATTCCGCGGGGCGAGTGGGGGCGAGTCTTGTCATCGAGTTACTCGATCGGCGGGGCTGTTATTGCCAGGTCAGTTAATTATGACTGATGGGGGCTACTGACCGCGCGATCGATCGCATGACGTTCCCTCTTGTTGCGCGAATCCGAGGTCCGCTCGGGGTCCGGACGCGTGCCGGACCAGAGCAGAGGCATGATTTCACGGCTTCCGCCGTAATGAAACTGTCTGTCCGTTCACCGCAGTTCCGCCGGCGCGGCGCGGCGCGGTGACGGTCAACGAGATATCGCGGTATACAGCTGTCGCGGACGCCGATCTTTCTCCGCTGGAAACTACCATTGTGTATCGTCGAAACAATTTCGCGCGATACATAAACGTTGGTCACTTTGATCGTTCGTAAAAAAAAAAAAAGTCCGTCCTGCCTAAAGAGATCGTCGTGAGTCAACGTTTTACTCTTGATTAAACTCTACCTCTTTAGGGGAGTTTAATCTTAGAGTTATTGTTTATCGAATGATTGATAAACAAAGAAAGGATTTAAAAGGTTGAATTTAAAGGAAAAAACAATATTGATATTTATATGTATTGTTTTGATAGAAATATCGTGTTTCTTTTAATCAACGTATATTTCCGTTCTTTGTCAATCCGTAATGATATCAAAATATATTTGGCTGTGCAGTAAGCCGCTTCATCGTTAGCCTGATAACACAATCTCTTATTCGATCGATATATCGATAAGCCAACAATATCAAGTAATGGATTCAACCCGGATGTACGAAATCCGTGTACGTATATGTGCATACATATATACATATATAGATCGTCTTACAATGATGGTACGCGATTTCCAAGTTTTTCAAAGAAAGTAAAATCTCGAAAAGTAAAAATAATAAAAATTTCGAAAAGAATTTCTTTATAAATAAAAATGACAATAATATATAGACGATTTTCAATTTTTTCGAAAATCTCTCAGAGAATAAAAATTAAAGAATGATAATTACGAAAAAAATTTCTTTGGAGACAAGAATAGATTTTTATAATAAATTCTATAATAAAATTAAATGATAAAAATCGATATTAACAATTTGATTATCGGATTGTTGTAAAACCGCTACCATTGTAAGTTTGTCCGCTGAAAATAGTGGCACGTGATTGGTGATATAATTATTTAAATATAATTATTTCATATAGATATTTAGCACTTAAGATGCTTCCGAGTAATGGCCTTGATTTCTTTCCATTGTTTATTAAAAATAAATTTCCTTATGAAATAATCAAAATTAAATTTCAAGAAGAAAATCAAATGATCCAACATCGAACGTGTTACACTTAAAATCTCAGAAGTAATCAGTGACTCATGACAGGTGGAGACATCCGCTGATAGTGAATGTACATCCGCGTACGTTCTCAGGATTATCTCTTCTGGCGTTACAGAAAATGCGGATCGTCTCGAACGTGTTAGAACCGTCGATTCTGACGTCGGGTTCAGACAATAAGACAAGCGCGTCTCCCTTGGCCTTGTTATCGCCTGCATCCTTCGAGACGATTAACAATGCCGCGATCATAAGCACGCGATGCAAGAGCATGCGTGCGTGCGGGCGTGCGTTATCATCTCATTCTAGATTCGTATTTGCACGTCTCCGATAACGACACACTGCCTAATCAATTCCGTGATAACGATCTCTCTCTGTCCTTCCTTTACGAGAGCCGCCGCCACGAAAATTCCGCGCGATCGAGAATAGAGATTGAGCGCGTGCCGCGACCGTCATTCCGCGGTCGTCTCTGATTGAATCGAGCCGAAATAATTACGATTACAGTAAAGACGCTTACTATAAAAGAATAAAAGAACTCAGACCCGTTAGCACGTCCCAATAAGGAGCAATTGGCTAATGGCTCCTGAATCTGACGCTTCTCCCCTCCCGCCTCCCCCCTCCCCCCAAGACGCTCGCGCGTCTTTGAATAAATATTTATTAGTCCGTACGACAGAATGTCGCAAGAGTCGTGAAGTAAATGCAAATCCTAACAGGATATTCTATTATATCGGTCGACGTACGCAATGTGCACAACCGTAAAATTCCCAGCGCATAATAACAGTTGTAAAAGTGTTCTCAGAAGGTACGGAGGTTACCGATA